TAATTTTTTTTTGTTTTAGTATTTTGAAGTTGACCAATTGTTACTATAAGCAATTAATGATTATAGATGATCTGCACAGTAAGATAATGATTTGTTTAGATTGTGTAAACTTGTCACATAAAAGAAACCAACAAGGAAATCATTTATTTATGAAATTCGAATTCAACTTCGATTTACATCGTTTCATCCGAATTTCGTCCTATTACTATATGTATAATTAAATGGAGAATGAAAAATCGGTTATAAAAAGAATTTTTTCATTTGTACTCGATTATTATATATAAAATTTATATTTATTTATACGAAGTAAATATTTTAAAAAAAAATGTTTTCGACAGTAAATCCCTCTTAAGAAAATCGGCTTATAAAAGGTATCAGTAAAAAACATCAGTTTTTCATTTTATGTCTTGATCTTACTTGTTATCATCAGAAACAATATAATAATAAAAATACATTAAGGAATTAAACGAATTGAATAAATTAAATCATTTTAAAATTCGATTCGAAGCCTTATGAACTATTTAATTTCGTTTTAATAATAATCAAATTGGTATTTCATGTTTAACATACGTTTGAAAGAAAGAAATATTTATAATAATTTGTTATGGCAAAAGAAATTGAAAGAAAATTTGATAAATGATATTATGGTGAGTGCATGCACGAAACTGAAGACAATAAATTTGTTTTTCTTCCTTCTCTCTTCGTCATTTTCTTCTAATGTATCTGATGATTCTTCACGTCCGAGCGTTAAAAATCCAAAATATCTTCTCAAATGTGTTCCGAGTCGCGAACTAAATTTGTGCACCAAATAATATTCGACCACTCGAGGCACAGTTTCACGAAAGCGTGAATGCACCATTTTCCAATAAGCTAGTGCGCCCTATTTTAATCATAGAGAAATATGATAATAATTAAAAACTTTTTAATTTAATAATAATAATAATAATAATAATAATAATAATAATAATAGTAATAACAAATTCTTAGAAACGTTACAGTAGCGGCAAGAAAAGCCTGTTCATTAATCGTGGATGATAAAAGTTCTGAATTTTGTTTACTGTCCGAGTTTTTTGGAACTTTGTTTATGAGTTTTTCTAAAAACATATTTTTAGCCGTGATCATCATCGAAACAGTCGCTGTTGATGGTGTTTTTCCATTCGAGGATTTTATATCTTCAATTAACCGCTGACTAACTTCGTCCTTTGTTTGGTTTTCACTCAAGACCTTGATTAATTCATTTTTTATATTCTCAAAATTTGTAGTATCACTGCTTGTAGGTGTGGAAGACCGATTATTAAAAGCATCAAAATACTTTCCTCCTAGATCAATGATTTTGGTAAGTTTTCCTCTTATCTCTTTATTGGCAGATAAGACTCGCATCTCCATATAATATTTGTACTGCTTTTTTAATAATGTTGCTTCATCCGTTACATACAATGCGCGACTAGCTGACATGTGTTCCATCTTTTCCAAATCGAGAAGTTGCTTTAAAGTTTCCTCCTTACATGATCTTAAAAGGTCTTGTAACGTTGCTCTAAAATATATATAAATTACATATATAAATAAATATAAATACGAGTAGGTTTCAATAGTTTAAACATAAACAAGATTTTAAATAACCCATTAATTAATTAATTACTTGACAGTATCTATAACAAATGGAAATTCAGAGAATTTTTTTTCGACAAAGTTGTCTGTGAATATTCGCACCCATTCAGCGTTTTTATCTAAAAGTGTATGCGAGATCTTATACCATTCTTTCTGATGTCTGGCAACTATAGAAACGATCGCTTTATACGGAAAGTACCCAACTAGCTGACCACCTTGGGCCTCTTGCATTTTTTCACATAATTGTTTCATGTCCCAGGTATACTCGCTTTCGTTGGCTATCAATCCCTCGTCCTTAGACCATTCATCAGCACCAATTTCATTCAACAGTTTATCAGTCCAGCCACGAACTTGTAGTGCACCAGGTCTGATTGGATCAAATTCCTGATTCATTAATTGATTATCAATTGATAAGTTATATCTAGGGCGAGTATTCAACAAAACTCTATCAAATTCTCCGAAATTCCACTGTTGTCCACGATATAAACGGTGATCGATATCATTGGCGTCTGCATGATTAGTGAATTCTTTGTCGAAAATTCCGATTATTTCTATAAATCGGATTATAGGGTTACCTTTTGGTGCTGGTGGTATTGAACTTAGTTCTGCTTCTAACTATATATTTTTTTTAGAAAAAAATAATATCAATTTACCATTTTGTTATTATTTTTACTATCATATCATTATTACCTCGGATCTACGTTTTTGTAAAAAGGGCCTAATTTTTGGCCATGCTAAATCCAAGGCTAACTTTTGCAAGTCACTCAACTTATCAATTAAATGCTTCAATCCTAACCTATTACTAGGCACATTTCTCCAACTTTTATTTAACATTAAATGGCTAAGTGCATTCTTTTCAATAGACTCGTGATCTTCAAAATTTTCTTTAGAGCTGGCAGGGTTCCTCACCACATACACCCCATTAACTAACTGATGTTCACCTTTACCCTCGACAAAATTAGCCAACGCTTTATGTTTAATTTCATCGTCAGAGATTTGATCGATTTTTGTTAGGACACCAACCGTGCGTTTACCGCTAGGATCAGCTTCTTTTGCTAATTTCCAAGCACTTTGTGTCGCTATATCCGCAGTTGCTTGAAATATTGGTAAAAGGATCGTCGTATCTTTATTGATATATTCTTTAACAAGAGAAATGACAAAGTCCTCATTCTCCTGGTTGTCTCTGATAATTCCTTGATAATTAAGGAAAAATATAAATTTTACGATTTTATCGAAAAATATTTGTAATTAAATAAACAAATAATGTTCTCATTACCAGGAAGGTCGACCATGGCCAATGAAAATTTTTGGTTAGGATCACCGATTGTAACGCAAATAGCGTTACGCGTGAACATCAACTCGTCTTTATTACCCAATGTATCAGATATCGGGCTATCTTGTACTTTTATTGATGGATTTAGAACATAACGCTGAGCCTCTCGTAATTTGTCTTCAATCTTTTCATGTTCCATATCTAGAATATCACAAAAATCGATTTCGCTTGGAGACGTTGCTATACGTTTGCTATTTTCCACATATCGTAAAGATATCCTACGAATTGGCTCTTGTGTCTGCATCATTCTAATTTCAAATGGAGTTGCAGTGCACCTACCAACACCTCTGATAATAAAATTTATATAAAATAAATGGTTAATAAATAATGCGTTTAAAATAATTTTTTTACATTAAAATATGTTTATATATTACTTCGGTACAGGAATGCCACCAGTTAATCTTTGCATCAAAGAACTTTTACCAGCGCTTTGATCACCAAATGCTACAATAGTAGGTGTATCATTCTCAAGCTCACTGGTGTACTTGCGGATCTGCACCATTATGTCTACATAGTTCTGTGCATTTTGAGTTTGTGCCAAAGGTGAATCAAACATTTTAGAGGTATTAATTTGATATTTTACGATGTATTTGTATGTTTGATAATGTTCTGCGTGTAATATTTTTTAAAAAGTGAAATGTCTCATGGGATTTTTTATACATACATATATATATACATACGAAATTTACCCGATTGATTCCAAATTTAGTAATTTATTGGACCATTATTCAAAGAAAAACAAGAATTGAACGCATAAACCTGTTTTTTTTTTTTTTTTTCTCTTAAAAAAACTTGATTTTAAACATAAACGGAATTAATAATAATACTTGAAAATTCAGCCAAAATAATTGATTTTTTCCATTATATAATATCATTTTGTGCATCATCAAACTTTATTTTTTATTATTGCCAAACTTGACAAGCTTTAATATGGCTTTATATAGACAGTATTTTCAAAATTGCATGCTAAGTAACATTGGCCATTCCTTTTTTAAATATTCTTTGCGCTAGCTTTCTCAACTCTCAGATGATATTTGTGACCCATATACCAATACAATTGGTCTTTGGTTAGGCGTGAATTGTGAATTCTGAATTTATAAAAATTTCCCACACATTTTGACCTTTAAGATTTTTTCCCTTTTCTATACTAAGCAATTGCCCATTAAATGACAAATACTTATAAAACTTGGCGATATATTGCTCTTGACTCAAATAATGTTATCATTTTGTTTGTTCAAACTTAATTTTTTTTTTAAAGTCAATATCGTCGTCAACCTCGGATTTTTCTGGATCAATCAGATTGTACTTCAGATCCTTAAATTTATTATAGTTCATTGGCTTTGTTTGACTATGCGTAATAATAATGGTCCTTAAATTTTACTTTCTATCGAATCACTAAATGGATAAGAACTCTCTTTTCAATAAAATAAATCTGAAAAGAATGCCAACGTGCTTTATTATAAATTTTTTTTTCTTCTCATCTTAAGTAAAAGTCTAATACAAAAAAAAAAGTAAAAGTAAATCGAATAAAATAGCATAAATGTCCATTGTTGGCGTGATAATTTCATCCTTACAATTACTGGGCAGTCTATTTATTATTGCATCCTTTATTTGCAAAAATTTATTCTCCAGAGTTGAGACTTTTAATCAAGATACCACTTTTCATGGACAGGTCAGAACACTAAAGCCAATTGAATCAAATAATGATGCATCTAGTTGGATGCAGTTGCCTCCTTCGCCTATTACACATGGTAATAACCCAGAACCTTATAATCTATTTGTTTTTAATAATGGTGGCGAGGTTGTTATCAAATTTTTTCTCTTAACCTGATAAAATTCTTTGATAATTGTTTTTTATGATGAAATTCTGAACAACTTATATGCTTGTTCATATAAAAACTACTTCCAACTTGGTTGTGCATTGGAGGAAAATCAAAAGTTGGAAAAAAAGGCGATGGAAAACATATGACAAATAAAGTAATTGAATTATTAAAACCCTTTTCATGCAGGTAATCCACATAAAAGTGAACGATATACATCTAAAAGAAATGTTTGAAGAATTGAAGAAATAGAAAAAATGTACATACCAAAGTTAAATTGAAAATTAGGTATTCTAGACAGCAAATAATAGTTTTTTATTACTCTTCCCAAGTGAAAAATTAATTGTCACCAGCATTTACTCAAATAGCGTGAAGCTAAGATCAACAAACCTGTCAAGCTTTAAAGGCTAAACTAAGAAGGTTATGAAAAAGAGAAATTTAAAGTTTAGAGCCTAAGCTACATTGATGTTGGTTTGCTTTTTTTCCATATCCTCAGTTCAAAAATTATTAGCCTTTAAAGTTTGACAGTTTTGTTGATCCTAGATGAACTTGCATAATCGAAAAACGAGTACATACTAATACTAATACTTTCTTCTTCCAATATTATTATAATGTTTTTTTTTATTATGCACATATAGTTACATTTTTTTTCTAATTTATTAAATAAATAAATGCTGCTGTACAATTAAAACCTTAATTATCCTATTGTTGCTAACTATTATTATAAATTTTATTAATAATTTAATAATTATAACGATTCCAGGAAAATATCAAATTTTGGAATCGAATCAAAGACACTGAAATCTAATAATCCCTTTTCTTTATAATGAGTCAACAATTCAATCATTTTAACTTCGTCTCCAATATCATCATAAACCACCTCCTCATCACCATTAAAAATTTCAATACGAATTGGTGCATAGCCAGTCCATTTTTTGAAAAACATTTCTAAAACATCATCTAAAAGTAAACATTTTTGTCTAAATGATAATATTTTTATTTGTTGTGGTAAAGCAGTCATCAAAGCACAAAATAAATCTTCAAAAGTTGGTAGAATATCATCAATCTTTCTCACAGAGATACCTTTTAGTTTTGTACAGGTGTTAAAAATTTTACATAAATCTTTTGCTACATAACTATCATAAATTAGTGACAAGTATTCCAAGTTTGGACAATTTTGTGCAATTGATCCAATAAATTCTTCCAAGAATTCTGGATCATTTGGGTACCCATCAAACTGAATAACTTTAAGGTTCTTGCCATTCAATTTGAAAAATTTACTCAAAGTATATACACAATCTTGTCCATCAAAATTAACATTGATTTTCTCTAGTAAATCAAATTTCAAATTCTCAATGAAAATATCATCAAAATCATTAACAAGATTATATCTATGCAGATTTAAAGATTCAAGGCTCTCAAAGTTTGATAATGTGTAATCCAGATCACAACACCCAATACTAGTATATTCCACTAAATTATTTGCGTGAAGAAGCAATGCCTCTTTGACTAATTTAGGTATGGAGTCATTGGATGTGAAACATAATAATTTCTTTATGTGTTTCTGTGCTCTAATCAATTCAACCAATCCCATATTTGATTTATAATTGTAAAATTCCAAACCAAGTATTTCTATTTTATCAGTAGTTTGTGCCAATAAATGAAACAATCTTGGACTAACATTATCATCACAAGCCAATTCTCTAAGATTTGAGAAACATTGATTAAATTTGGGTTGTTCAAGCAACAAAAAATGCTCCAAATAATGTAAGAAAATTCTTTCTATTCGGGAATTAGTCATGATAAATTTTACTAATTCTTTAAGTAACAAATACCACTTTTCTTTCTTCACCACCTCAATCTCTTCATCAATCAAATCTAGACTATTATCATATAATGTATCTTCCATTCGTAGTTCATTAGCAAATTCTGAATAGTTGCATAGTAGTAGTTTATCATCATCCAATACTTCAAATGATAGTTTGATATTATTTTTCACAAAAAAATCTTTTGACTCCTTTGATAAACACCTGATCATTGTCTTCATGCTATTTTTTGAATGGAATGGATCTTTCCATAGTATTGGTGCAACAGTGCGAAACCAACTTCTACTCACAAGTATACATGAATAAAGTGTCTCGTAATTATATTCTAGATATTCAAATATATGATATATACAATCAAATGGTAATTTTTTAAAAATCATTTTTAAATTTCGTGTAACTTTGATGTCATCAATTTAAAAACAAGCCTCTAATTATTTTACAAAGTATATTTTTCAATTAGAATGAAAAATAATAATGTTTCACCAAAAAATAGACAATCTCCTTCTTTTACCAAAGATATACTTGACTTACGAAATTCAGAATATGATATTAATATATATTTAGCATTAATTAATGATAAATTTCGGTAAAGAATATTTAGAAAAGAAACATATTGATGCTCAAGGAATCAAAAGAGTTTGTACAAATAACTTTTTGGCTGAATTAGATGCCTGAAACATAGCAATAGTGTATATAAATATAGTCGGAATTGTTTGAATATTTCAACAATATTTTGAACGTATGCTATTTGATTTATTTTTGAAAATTAATTTCAGTAACCATTTTAATACATAGGTTTTAATGATTAGGGAAAATCATTTTTATTATTAAATTTTTCTAAATTTATTATTTCAATAATAACATTAAATAATTAATTTACAATTGCTATATAATATTAATAGTAGTAATAGTAATAATAATTAATTTTTATCCGATGATAAAGAATGATAGAAAGAATTATGAGATTTCTCAAGATCAAATAATAATTGTCTTGCTTGTTCCTCATCAATTTCAGCACTTGCTTTCATTCCATTCAAAGTAATCAACCAATTTCTAATTTTGGCTTTTCCTTCAAATTCTGGTGGCAAAGATGTCATTTTATTTAAACTCTGCATTAAATTACTTAACAATGGATGAATTTCATCAACTGCCCTTATTCGAAGTTTAAGAACATCCATAACAGTAATAAAATTCTTTTTTTTTCAATTTTTGGATGAGATGGTGAGAAAATGAAAATATATATATTATTTGAAAAAAAAAAATGGAAATTTTTTTATAATGTTAGATAGGCAATACACATAATATATTATACATACACAAAAATATGATGTGTGTTATTAATAATAATTATGCGATTTTTGTTACCTGTACAGTTTCTGCTACATTTTGAGCTGAATTACTAGGATCATGCCCTGCTCCAGTAGAATGTTCAACAGTTGCAGGAACTCCTATCTTAAATCTATTTACTGCTGCAGGACATTCAAGCTACAATTAATAGTTTTAATGATTTGATGTTGATATTAATATCCAATACATTCACAATAATTTGAATTACCTTGTACTCTTTCATAAATTTTTCTACATCAGGAACAGAATCATTAACGAGATTCACGGCTGTTTTATACTGTGCTATTAATTTACCACAAGCTGGTGTATATCTATAAAAAAATTGATTTTTTAATTATTTTCCCTTTCTTAAAATCTAATTCTTTTGAAAAATAATTTATTACATATTTCATTACTCTGTGTGTGGAATTAAATCTCTTATATAAGCTTTTTCTAAATGTTCCATCGTAACAATTATTGCATATAAATCTGATAATAATTCATACTTTTCTCTTTCTTTATTATTTGTATATAATTTGATTTCCTATGGTTTATTACATATTTTATTAAATAAAAAACTTTTAAGCATCATTTTTCAAAGAAAAAAAATAATCTTTAAATAAATATATACCTCATCTAATCCCAGATCTGTTACCATTGTTATTGCTTTGTTATTTATTTGTTCGTTATTTTAGTGAAACATACGTGTCGTGTAACAATCTATTTATCGAATATTAATATAGTCAAAGTTCTCTGTCCCATTGTTGTTCTTCATAGAGAGAGTTCACTATGTATAATAAATAGGATTTTATTTCTGATTTGTCTTTAATATTTAGAACTTGATATTTGCTAAATCAAATAAAATAATTATTATTACAATTGTTATCGGGTGAAAAAAATAAATTATATATATAGTACCATCACGTGACACATCTAGCTGGCTATAACAAACGAAAATTCTCATGATGGGGGTTCAGTACAGACAGAGTCAACTGTAATTCATTCCCAACGATATTCTCCTTTTATCTAAAACATTCTGGTTTTTGAATTGACAATTCAGCATTAGAAAACTTACCAAATGTTTTAGCACATTTGTCATTCTTTCTAGTTCCATTACCACTATTTTTTCCAATTATTCCTTCTTTTAAGGCTTTTAATAAATCTTCGGCAATGGAAAGAAAAGGTGCTTTTCATAATAATTAGCATCAATTTTTATTTTTGCAAATTCTTCTCTAAGTTTCTCTGTTCCTCCAAGTCCTTTTTTAAGTTCCATGATTTCTTTATATTTCGTTTATATCCCCTTTTTCATCACACTAATGGATTTTTATATAACAGATCTTTCTCTATACCAATTTTTATGCCACATATAATCATTACTGTCTATAATGGGCTCTCTCTATAAAAGACATTTTTTTGTAAGCCAAATGGTTCATTATAGATAGTGAAGAGTTGTTTGGTTTTATTAATCTGTCACTCATTCATCAGGAATCTTGTTAAAGTTATAAAATTAATAACATCTATTGTATGGAACATGATTACAGTCCATTATCTCTATAATGAACACTAAATTTCTCTACAATGAACTTCATTTTTATCTCCAATTCTTTTTTTTATATTAATTTCTCTCTTTATAACAAATGAAAACAAAAAAATTAGGTTGGTTATAAAGAGGGTGAACTATAAAAATAAATTTATACAGTAAAAATAAATAAATAGTTTTAATATGATTGAAACTAAATAAAAGTCAATAGTTGGTTCTTAAAAATAAAAAGATAATCCAGGAAATACTTAGCAAAAGGCTTTCTTAAAAAATTCAAAAATGTTCCTTTGCTGTTGATCTTGATACATGTCTTCAAAATTGATCAAATTACTCCCAATATATTCTTGAGCAAGTGAAGCAAATAAACATGATAAAGTCTAGAATTTGGCTTTAATGTTTTATTCACTAGAATTAGAAAAAAAGCCAACTCCTGGTACATAATTGTTCAATTTTCAATAGAAGCATACTTTGAAGAAATTAATGGATCATAATAGATTATTGACAGATTCTGATAGAGCAAAACAAGTTCTATATAGTATTTATTTCAATTATTATAATCGGAGTTTTTATTTTTAAAGCAATAATCTTCCTTAATTATTTTTTCTAGAACAAAAAAGGATAGAATTAAGGTTTGTGGGAATTTTCTGCACCTATATATACAGATGTCTTCTGGTAATCCTATTTCCTCTGGTTGTGGTGAAATAGGATAACCTTATATGAGACAAATTCCAACAGAAAATTCGTCCAAATTCACCATGTAAATCCCCTTTTTCATGTCCAGTACTACAATTGGGAGTTGGAGTTCTAAAAGGTCCTTATGTAACAGATAATAATTATAATGATCTAATTCTGATACCAAAGGTGTTGAAGCACTTTGTAGTAAATGATCATAACCTACTACAGGAGATTGTGTGTTGGAAGGATGCTCCTGGTAAGTTTCAAAAATTGCTTTAATGTGTTCACAAGCACTTTTCTATTTTCTTCTGAAAAGACTGAAGACATTTTAATATGGGGCATGCTGCAACAAAACCAGACAAAGTGAATATTGGTATTACCAAGAATTTCAGGGATCAATATTATTTATTTAATATCACAATCACATTACCAATACAATGTGATCAATGATATTTGTCTAGACAAAAATAGTTAATATGAAGTCAACTTACATCAGTCTACTATGGAACCCAAAAATTATAGCACCATTAGAAATATTTTAAAAAAGGAACAAGGTGAAAAAATTGCTCCTTATATTTTCAAAATAAATGACACTCACACACTTGAAGCTTATCTAGTAAAGAAAAAATCACCTATGAAATTTGCCAAGAAAGAAAAATAGAAAAAGAAAGCATCATAATGATGCAAGCATAGTGGAAACTGTTGCAGATCACAAAAAAATGATCAACATAACATATGTTATGGTGAAAGTTCTTGCAAAAGTTTGATTATAAA